GGGGAGCAGAGGAGTGGGTAGTGGTAGAGGGATGGGAAGTGTGTAGCACCGGTAGGGTCTCAGCCACCATTGTAGGGAAATTAAAGAATGTAGCTTTTGCTCAGAAGGAGATAGGAAATGGCAGAAGGAAATGACACAATCTGAATTTTATTTAAATAGAAGTACTCTTTTTTCTCTGCATATCCTTAAAGAGCAAGATGCAAATTCCCTCAAGTACTTGAGTCATGGTCAAAACTTTGGATTGGGGACAGAATAGTGATGATGGAGATTGTGTCCTCAGAGTGTCCCAGGGGACTGTTGTGTTGGGGGTTAGGCCAACCTGGTTGGAGTTCCCACTCAGCATCTGCCAGCTTTGGTATCTCAGGCATGACACCAATTAGCCTCCCTGAACTTCTGTTTCTTCACTTGTCGTATAAAGAAAATAATATCTCAGTAGCTCACTTCAATCGCATTGTGATTATGAGGTTACAGTAAGAGGACAGTGTGAAAAGCCATAAAAGAAAAATGTTATGCAGATTAAAGAGACGCTTGGTCTTTAAAAACAGGTATACCTGCTGGCTGTAGACACAGGTCTTATTGTAAGGTTGGGAAAGAAGACAGTGAAGAATAGAAAGAGGAAACCTGCATTGTAAAGCCATTGGGGAATCTTCGAAATCTCTGTAGAGACAGCTACTTTTTAGCAGTGTACCAAATCCAGTACTGATTTGGCCCCTGGTTGTTTTTGGTTTGTTTTTTTAACCAACATGAAAGAGTATTTTTATGTTCAAGAGGCAGGGGATGATAAAAACAGAAAAGCTCTGGTAGGGCATGTTTCTCCAATAGGTAGTGCATTAATTAGTATAGTTATAGTAAGTGTATTATCCAGTCGCAAATTAGCAACTCAAAATCTGAAAAGGGATTTGTGGGCCACATTTGGTAGGGAGAAGCAGTCTGTGTGTCAGATGCTGAATATAATAGACATCTTAGGTAATTTGGCTAAGTGGAACATGATATTTGAAAATGGCACAATCCCTAGAAAAGACAGAGCATGGGTTGTCTGAATTTATTGCAGAAAGTAACATGCATTTTTCAGTAGCAGGTATTCACTCTTGGTTTACCCATCTATATTATTAAAGGGTCTTTGTTTTGCAGGCAAACCTATTCTGGCTAAGAAAAAACAGGGAGACAGACAAACAAACAAAAGATTTATTGAAGGGCCGAGCCCGTGGCGCACTCAGGAGAGTGCAGCGCTGGGAGCGCAGCAGTGCTCCCGCAGCAGGTTCGGATCCTATATAGGGATGACTGGTGCGCTCACAGTGCTTACTGGCTGAGTGTGGTGCAGCCGGTCTCAAAAAGGACAAAAAAAAAAAAAA